CATGCCTTGTCTTTCTGCGAATCCGGTCTGTGCTACGTGGGATGCTGCGGGTGGCAAGAAGCTCCTCTCCTCTTCCATCTCCAAGCACATGTCGAGAATATCCGAAAGTTCCCTGTCATCCTCTTTCTGTGGCGGTCCAGTTGCCAGCCTTCGCGGCACATTTTTTCCCCCAGTCCCCCGGTACCGTCCACGGAAACAAGCTAGGATAATAGCCACAATTGGCAACACTAAAAAAAGAACAGCACGACTGTCTTTCTTATGGCCGCAGATTGAGCGCACGCGACTTCTAAATACCTGATTTACTACATCCTTGCCCGCCGTTTGCGCTGAAGACACTGAAGAGGGTCCGGAACTGTGCCTACCAGATGGAGTACTGAGCGCCGGCTGACCGAACGGCTGTGATTGCGCCATGTCGCGCCAAAAGACTCCGCTATGTATCGAACATTCTGTGAAAGGGGAAATAAGGGGGCTAATTGACGGTATCACTCTGAAAATCCCATCAGGTCGACAGCAGGGAACGTGTCCAGTCGAGGGTGCCAAGGAAAAGACACAGGAAAAATTGGAACATCCAGCGCTCTGGATCACAAAAAAGAATGCAAGTCGTATTCTTACAGAAGAAGTAATGCTTAATTATTGTTACATGCAGTTGGGCAGTTGCTTCTGTCCTGGTGAAGTGGATGCTGAATAAGCGTCACTGTTGAAGTATCCTGCACGAGGTCCTGTACCGTTGTAAAGGCAGAACCTAAACAGCGGCGTATGCGTAATCAAGCACGCACTTATTTGACACTAATATGCTGCATTGAGCATCTGTCTATGTGGGACTATCAGTATTTTTACTTCACTCGGCAGCGATAAATGTGCTGCTATTGCAGAGAGTTATTCCAGTCACAGTGCCCAGTCTGCACGTAACAGTATTATGTGGGCAAGCTACAGCAAGTTCCACCCCTTTCTTCTATTTCTAACTAACAGTATTTCCTTATACTAATACAGAACTGTCTACTTTATAGCTAAAGCGCTTTTTAGTCTTTCCTAGGCCCTGCCTGTGCTGTGTGTAGTTCAGTCTTGCATACTACAATGTGGGGCAAAAGTGGCCAATTGAGTGTCCAGTCGAGGGTGCCAAGGAAAAGACACAGGAAAAATTGGAACATCCAGCGCTCTGGATCACAAAAAAGAATGCAAGTCGTATTCTTACAGAAGAAGTAATGCTTAATTATTGTTACATGCAGTTGGGCAGTTGCTTCTGTCCTGGTGAAGTGGATGCTGAATAAGCGTCACTGTTGAAGTATCCTGCACGAGGTCCTGTACCGTTGTAAAGGCAGAACCTAAACAGCGGCGTATGCGTAATCAAGCACGCACTTATTTGACACTAATATGCTGCATTGAGCATCTGTCTATGTGGGACTATCAGTATTTTTACTTCACTCGGCAGCGATAAATGTGCTGCTATTGCAGAGAGTTATTCCAGTCACAGTGCCCAGTCTGCACGTAACAGTATTATGTGGGCAAGCTACAGCAAGTTCCACCCCTTTCTTCTATTTCTAACTAACAGTATTTCCTTATACTAATACAGAACTGTCTACTTTATAGCTAAAGCGCTTTTTAGTCTTTCCTAGGCCCTGCCTGTGCTGTGTGTAGTTCAGTCTTGCATACTACAATGTGGGGCAAAAGTGGCCAATTGATGCAGCTTAAATCGAAATATACGCAGCCAAAACGCAAATCAGGTATAGTTCGTGCACAAGGAAAGAGCTATAAACGTGTTTAGACATGACGTACTCGGCAGCCAAGCCTAGTGTTGAACACTGGCGACAGGCGTCGGCCAGCGACAGGGTCGAGCATTGCGAACAGAGCGCAGATGCTTATCGTGCAAAAACGGCATATTTTGATAAAAGACATTTTTTTATAGTCCTTTACGGACTTTTAAAGCCTCCAGGCAAAGAATTTTGCACGATTAACGAAAGCAAACAGTGGCTTCTGGGTGTCTTTTAAAGCTCCCAATCTTCCTGAGTGAAGTGCTTGCCTGTATTCGGTCACGCGTATTATTTGTTCTCGGCGTTAGAAGCGTTCCCATGGTGACAAGCTGTGGATAACAGCATTCGAGTCTAAAGTGACTTCTGTACCAAACGGATCAGTAAGATTCAGCACCCGCGGGACCTGAAGGCACAAGAGGTAATGCACGGACCGTACTTGGGATGAATCTTGATCTCATGAATTATTCTTTTATTCTTTTAAATTATCTAGAGAGAAAAGGGGCTGGTTCACCCAAGCCACGCCTTTGTATGCAAGAAGGAAAGTTGCAACAAATCCACAGTAGATTAGATTGGCCTCTGGAAGGTTGACTATGCGGGTGCGCAATATCTACGTGCGCTTATTCATGTAATTAATTTCTTGATAAGGGTGAACTTGATGAAGCTTTTTGTCGGAGGCAATTCTCGCTTCTTGCTTGTGAGGAATTTGGGATTACAGGACAGCACAAGTAGGTTGTGCTGCGCACATTGGTACAAGTAGACTCTGTTCAGCTCTCTACTCACTGCTTCACAGGCCACTCTAACTCGCCATTGTGGCGCGCAGCAAAGGAATACAAGGAATAGCATGACCAATCTTCAGAGAATGCTGTGTTTAGTATCAGGATAGAGCGTAAGTCGGAGCATTTCAACAAAAGAAACCTGGTTCTTGCAACAGACTAGGATTTGGGCACTCTTCAGCTAGGCTATCGTTTGGGGCTGACTGTCACCGATGCCGCCGGCGGTGGCACGCTAGTGCAGAGATACGGAGGGCGTCTATGGAGAAGCCAGCAACCTACAATGCTGCTCCAAAATTGTCCCTAAGAGTTCCGCCACTGCAGTCAAATGCTGAGCGCCATTCGTCTTTAAAGCAGCTATGCGTCGTTCCTTGAGGCGCCTAGTAAAGGTGGGTGGCACCGGCACCAAGGCAGTCTTGATAAGCCCTTAAACTCAGGATTCAGTTATTTTTGTTGCTTATTCAAAAAAGTTGTTAGGAGACTGTCGCTGTGTGAGCACCTCTGATGTCGGCTTTTCGGGTGTTCCGAAGACGCGTGGGCTGCAGATGTGTCCTTCTTTTTCTGAGGGTGCACGTTTCCTTGAGGCGCCTAGTAAAGGTGGGTGGCACCGGCACCAAGGCAGTCTTGATAAGCCCTTAAACTCAGGATTCAGTTATTTTTGTTGCTTATTCAAAAAAGTTGTTAGGAGACTGTCGCTGTGTGAGCACCTCTGATGTCGGCTTTTCGGGTGTTCCGAAGACGCGTGGGCTGCAGATGTGTCCTTCTTTTTCTGAGGGTGCACGTTTCCGCGAAGTCTCTGTATGAGTGTAGGCATGATTGCCGTTAATGAATGCAGAGTATGAGCCAGTTCATGCAATCCTGACGTAGCGCCAACTTGTAGTCCTTTGTTCATCTGATGCGTCCGCGTGGTTCTTTATTGTTGCATGGCCTGCGTTCTGTTACACCACGCATGGCAATTATAAATATATAAATAGACGAAACAGCTATTTCGGACGATCCGTTCGAGGGCCGACATCAACTTAACACTTTCCGGAAGGGCTACTGTGAAGTGCATGGTACTTTTGGTAACTAGAACCAGTGCTTGCACAGAGGAACCACGCTCAAGATCTGTCTTTATGCACACTGTATGCGTCATTTGTTTCCCAAGTAAATTTATTTCAATTCAGATTGTCTCTTAGTGTTAGTTCCTTGCCTCACTGTGGTGCGCAACAGCATATTTGGTGCCCTAGAGCGTAGCCTTGTCCCACAGCAGCACATTAGAAGACTTTGCAGTCGTGAAATGCTACCAACAGCACTATTAAATGAAAAATCAGAACTGTTTCATAGTTGTAAATGTGAATGACTTGCACACGAGTACTGCAATGGGTTGTTCTCGCGAAGCGTACACGTATACCATATCGGTACCCTCGACATCATGCATTTCTTTTCATCACGAGAATATATTTGACGTATGCTGTATTGCCTGAAAAAATGAATATTCCAGACATTTCCCCCCAAAGTCAGAACAGTTTCCGCTGGGAAATGAGGCATGGCCTATATTGCAAGGTGCCTGCTTGGCCGGTGAACACTGGCATCGATGCAGTGAGAACGGTTCTAGGTGGTCCTGTCCTGCTGCATGCATACTCCAGCCATAGGAAGCCAGGCGTAGATGTCCCAAGTCCCAAACCTAAACTGCAAGTTCCACTCAGTTAGGCATACGCACTGATCTTCAGACTGGAGTGGCTTCTTGTGTTCATCCCGCGCCAATCAAGCATCTTGCGGAGGCTCTGTGGCCATCACACTGCACCATGCTACAATTGCAGCCAAGTTCGCGTTGCCACGCTGGTGTTATTTTGGTGCCATTTCCTTCATTCATGCATTTTGCAAGTCATTTGCCCTTCTTGTAATCCATGCTCACTGTAGAGTTCGGTCTCAGATGGTCTATGTCCTAAGGGGCTTTTTATTTCCAATCATTGGGACGCGATATCCTCAGTGACTCATGAAACGTCAGCACTTCTACGCCAGTTGTTTTTAAGCGTAAATTCAAGTAAATCCTGGGCAACTAGTGTGTCCAGGACAAAGTATCTTCCGAGTGAACATGGCTCGGGGTACAGATTCACACCGTATCTCTGTTCCTTATACGAGCAGAGAACACTCCAATTTTCTTCCTGTGCTATTGGAGCATTTGGAAAGCACAGAGTCGGCCCATGAAGTGCCCACTAGAGTCACGCGGCCAGCTTGTGCTGCTCCTAACAGAAACAAAGTGGTAGTACTTTGCATGCTAGGAGTTGTGGCCCTGACAGTGAGCTTTTTCCGCATCTGCTACGAGTGGAGAGGGCGTAAGGATGTGCGGCGTCTGTCAAGTAAGTTTCCTGTGGGCGAAAGCGATCCAGAATTATCGAACATCCTGGATATGTGCCTGGATATGGAAGAGGCCAATCAAAACGTTTCCCCAACACCGGAGCCAGTGCCGCAGACGCAGCCAATTGGCGACGAGCCTTCACGATCGACATTGCAGCACCAGCACAGCCAGCACTCACTACCAAATGACTCAATGCCAGAAGACGAGTATTTTATTCCCCAAACTCCCACAAGTTTTCTTCAGCTCCTTAAGGAACCGCTAGAAAATTCTGTCTCGGGGTATTTTCGTTCCAAAGAGACGCCTGCTGAGGAATACCCAGCGAGAAGTACTCCTGAAGGGTATCTACCGATAGCAAGTCCTTCGATGCAGTTCATGCCCACTCTCTCTCCTGGCATTCCATTCAGCACTCTGGAAAGTGCGTAATACCTCACCTGTTACTCCGCCAGCAAGTGCCGCATCGTCTTCACTTTGGGGCATGCAGAGAGTGACCTCTGTAATGCAGCATTGCGCCCATTTGCCTCAAGACGCAGTTCAAACTTCTGGAAGTTCGGCTTTGCAAATCCCTGGAGACTACTCATCCACCCAAAAGCGTTATCAGCTTCCGTTGACTCAGCTTGGCTCTGGTCATGCGCGCCAAGCATTTCTTGAGAGCGGGGGAGTTGAGGGGAGGCTTCAGGACCTGCAGGAAACGACGTTTGCAATGCAGCCTTTCACCCATTCGCCTCCAGGCGAAGTCCAAAGTTGTGGAAGTTCAGGTCCACTTGTCCGTGGAATCTACTCAACCACCCAGGAGCGATCTCCGTTTCCATCGACTCGACCTGGCTCAGGCCATGCGCACCAAGCCACCCATTCGCCTCCAGGCGAAGTCCAAAGTTATGCAAGTTCAGGTCCACTTGCCCGTGGAATCTACTGTTGGTGGGTCCTCGTTAGAGGCAAAGGTAGCTGAGCTGGACCGAGTCCGGTACGCGTGGTTCGGTAGGTAAGCGGAGGTCCGCTTCAGGTTTCAACACCTTCAAGTCCAGGTGAACAGGTACCTTAGATGAGTTGGTGGGTCCTCGTTTCTCCGTTTCCATCGACTCGACCTGGCTCAGGCCATGCGCACCAAGCCATCCATTCGCCTCCAGGCGAAGTCCAAAGTTGTGGAAGTTCTGGTCCACTTGTCCGTGCTTAGATGAGTTGGTGGGTCCTCGTTAGAGGCAAAGGTAGCTGAGCTGGACCGAGTCCGGTACGCGTGGTTCGGTAGGTAAGCGGAGGTCCGCTTCAGGTTTCAACACCTTCAAGTCCAGGTGAAGTCCATGGAATCTACTCAACCACCCAGGAGCAATCTCCGTTTCCATCGACTCGACCTGGCTCAGGCCATGCGCACCAAGCTATCCATTCGCCTCCAGAAGAACTCCAAAGTTGTGCAAGTTCAGGTCCGCTTGTCCGTGGAATCTTGAGAACCACCCAGGAGCAATCTCCGTTTCCATCGACTCGACCTGGCTCAGGCCATGCGCACCAAGCCATCCATTCGCCTCCAGGCGAAGTCCAAAGTTGTGCAAGTTCAGGTCCACTTGTCCGTGGAATCTACTCAACCACCCAGGAGCAATCTCCGTTTCCATCGACT